TCTATGGCAAATTTCAGCAAGATCAGTTCAGCCGTTTTGGAGATACCTTCAAACAAACATTCACCCATCTAAACATTATAACATCGCATTTATAATATTAGTAAGAAGTAAGATTTTAAAAAATGTGCTTTGTGTTTCTTCAAGCAAATTCAAATTGTATTTACTGTATACAGTATTGAAAAATGGGTCTTGACTGACAGATAGACGGACGGACACCAAAGTGATCATATAAGGATTCCATGTTTTACTTTTGAGACACGAAACCCTAATATGCACATTTCATTCGAATTCGATAGCGTTGAGTAAAAGAAAATAACAAAATGTCTGCATTCAAAATGCTACTAAAATAACAACTGCTATATTTAAATAATGAATTAATGATGAAACATGTTTCATGTTACAACGAAATGCAGGCAAATAACGATATTAAAGCAAAATGTAGTAAAAATATGAAAGCGCACGCTCGTTGAATGCAAATGCAAAGATTCTGTTTTTATTATAACATTCATGTGTTCATTAAAATACATATTATGCTCTTGCTTATTAGCCTAGCTGTCGCCCGTGACTCTGTCCGCGTAGATTTAAATGAAAACTTAACTTGTAGCCTATGTGTTGTATGTTCTACTTCCATGCAAAATTTCAGCGAGATGCATGAAGCCGTTCTGGAGATATCTTCAAACAAACATCCATATATCTAAACATTCGCATTTATAATATTAGTAAGAAGATTTCAACTTTTTAAATGTCTATTGTAAAGTAAAATGTAAAAAAAAATCGAATTAACTTTCTTAGTATGGGTTTTCACGGCGGAAACTAGCATCCTAAAAGAACATAACATATTCCTATCACAACTTTTTAGAGAAAATGATAAAAATATTATATTTAGTATTAATATTTCTGCAGTGAAAATCAACGGTTACAAAGTGGTTAAGTAAAGCTTCTGAAATGTTGTTTTCTTACACTTGTATACCTTTTTTATTGTCTGAGTTTTATATGTCAGTTTGTATGCAGTGTAACATTACTCTAAACACGAGGAAGTCTTCATGTCATGCTTGAGTCAGGGCTAAATTAAAAAAAAACTAACCTTTAGAACATAGGAAAAGGAGAAACTTTGCACAACCACAATACTAGGAGAATTTTTCGCAACAAAAATATGTAAAGTGAATGCACCTATTCATGATCACAGCGTTATTTGATTTTGAACTCACGGTTTATTGAAATAGAGTTTATTTTTCAAATATAAACTTTTAAATTTCGGGTGTTTCAAAGCAAACTAACCGTCGACTGTTCCCCGTTGTGTCACATTTGCTTGTTAGCAAGCTGCCGTAATGTTTTTTTTAAACTGAAATGAAATTTTGGTGCAAAAACGTTTTGAATTTTAAGCCGCTATAAATATTTCTACTCATGCATGAATTTCATTAACATTTATATTAATTGTTTGATATTCTAATTAGTAATATATAATTTATCTCGACATATTTCCGTTAACTAACTGTGAGTTTCTGAGACCAAAATATCCTTTTAAAATATATTTTTATCTCTGGTTTGTCAAAGATAATAACAGTGATGACGATATATTTTATACAGAGGTTTCAAAAACCCACGATAACACTACTAATTTAAATACATGACATATTCGACAGATTTTATGCTATACTATTATAGATGTCGCCCGCGACCCCGTCCGCGCAGGACTATAAAAAGATAATAGATTCTCAGACCTACTGAATATGCATATAAATTTAATAAAAATTGCTCAAGCCGTTTCGGAAGAGTATGGTAACTAACATTGTGACACGAGAATTTTACATATAAGATACTAGCTGTCGCCCGCGACTCCGTCCTCGCGAAATTAAAAAAAAAAATATTACCCTATGTGTTCTTCCAGACTCTGGTCTATACGTATGCCAAATTTCTTCGAGATCTGTTATGCCGTACTGGAGATACCTTCAAACAAACATCAATCTATCCATCCATTTAAAACTTCGCGTTTATAATTTCATCATCATCAGCTCACTATACGTCCCCACCGAGGGGCTTGGAGCCTTCCCTAAGTTAACGGTGACTAGGCCATAGTCAACCACGCTGGCCAAGTGCGGATTGGTTGACTTCACGCATATCTTTGAATTTCTTCCTAGATATGTGCAGGTTGCATCACGATGTTTTATAATATCAGTTATATTAAATTCTTAACTTTATTAAGATAAAACTATTCATGTTTCCTTTTCTTAATATTTTCCAGGGAAAATAAAGTGCATATTTCTTTCTTAGCACTAATAGGTGCCAATTAACTGCTTGTTAGTCGACGTCAGTAAACGTTGCAATAAACTTGAAGCCGCGTTAAATTAGGTGTGTTGCTTTTAGTAAAATAGTTTGCTTAAATTTAAAAAAAAAAACTATTACATTTGAACGTGGCAATTTGAAATGGTTTAAATTAGATTATTTTAAAGTATATGTAATTTTATGGGGAAATTAGTTAAAACGCGAGACTCTTAACTAACGAATTTTAATCAGCGATGATGGAAGGCACCACAATATAACTCAAGAATTGCAAGAAAGCCTAATGGTTAAGAGTACGGATATCCGATCGCGTAGTCGAGAGTTCAAGTCCCGCCGTTCTTTTATCGTAAACCATGTCCTAGACCAGTAGTTCCCAAACTTATTTTGTCTACTGCCCACTTTGAGAATAAATATTTTTTAGCACCCCCATATTTTCACATATTTAAAAACCACTATAACTTCAAATTAAATTAATTAATTATTGTGACTTAAATATGTATATTAATGGAGAATTCCAAACGAAACTTTTACTATAACCCGCAACTTGAGACCTACAGCGCCCACAAGGGGGCGTTATCGCCCACTTTGGGAAAGACTGTCCTAGACAGTATCCTATAGAGTTTAGTTGGAATGGTACAAGAAATATTAGTAAATTAACAAAAACCTGCGTATCGCGTAATCGTAGCTCACACAAAGGCAGATTTTTGCAACCTTTCTAATTTCAAACTATATTTCTGAGTAAAATAAAAGATTCAGCGAAATATTTGTACGTGAAATTGCTTTATGTTTGCAGTATTTCCGAAAATTTCCCAATGGATTCGTTCGGAAGTAGAGTTTATTGTAAGAGTAAATCGATTTTGAAAATTTTGGTGCGGTCGTTGCCATGATTTATTCAATATTCCTTTCTTTTTCATTACAATTATATTAACATCTAATACAAATGAAAATTATAACCAAAATCAATACTCGTATGTAATTAACACGTCCGGGTTCAATCCCGACCATGTTTTTCAAATTTCATATTGTTAGGAAAGTCCAACACTGTGTCGGTATATCGGTGCAACACTAGCCTTATTAAAGTAACAACGTTTATGTCCTCTCACTAATCAATCTGACACTTGACTTGATAACGAAAGCACGCCATTCGCTCTAAATGATAGTAACTAATAATTTCTAAAAATATATTTATACGAAGTTCTGTCGATGAAGAAAAACATCGTGATGCAACCTTCACATATCAATCTGCACTGGGCCAGCATAGCAATGGTATAGTCACCCCTGACTTACGCTGTCGCGGACGAGAGCGAAAGCGTGCCCGTGGTCCCGCCCGTAACGTTGGAGGAACAGAGGGGTTTAGTGGGTATGCTTCCCATCCGGAAGAGAATCCCACATAACTACCTTAACCCTCCCCCGCAGGGCACGGAGTATGCATGAAGCATTCCTCTATGGAAAAAAAATCCTGATTTACGGTAGGCTCCGATCCTCAGTAGGGACGTATACAAGCTGACGATAATGTAAAAAACAGCCTAATTTAACTAATCAATAGATAACTAATCAAATAGATCCACTATTGAAATAGTAATAAAATTCGAAAGTAATACGGATCAGTTCCTATCGAGGCATGGAGTAAAGAGCTTTTGACATTGCACACCTCACTCGACTCTTGACGCCCTTAATATGAGCACGTAAGTGTTTGAGCTTCTATAAGGAAGCATACACATATAGAATCTCACTCGATAGATTAATGAAAAAAGCTTCATTTTTAATAACGAATAATTGGCTACATTGAAATATAAAATATTTTAAAAATATAAAGTGTATTTTACTCCTATTAAAAGTTAAAAGCAATTGTGACAATATTAACAGGTTTGGTTTATAACCAAATGTTTGTAACTAACAAGCGAAACGTCAATTTTTTTTTGTTAAAATATTAGCAGATTTCTTTTGGAAATTTACTAATATTTCTTTTATCATTTCAACTAAGCTCTAGGCTTGTGCTAGAATATGGTTTACGACAATAGCCGAATGGCGGGATTCCATCCCCCGACCTCGCGGTTGGAAATCCGTGCCCTTAAACATTAGGCTATTGACGTTTAATTCAAAAGCATGTTTCAGTTTTTTCAGAGAAAATGAAGGAGACGACGATATGTTTTGTATGTATGTTTGGGTAGTGAAAACCTCGGTACAACTGTGTAATTCCAGATAAATCACAGTCAACGTTTTATGCACACTTTTATTTTTACTTGCCACTGAACTTGGCCTAGAAAATGTTCACACACAACTACACGGTATAGCACTGTCTGTTTTTAATTAAAACAGAGCGTGCTTAATGCCAGAGTCTCGTTTCATTCATTCCGCAATATATATTTTTATTTTTGTGGCTGTGAGTGCTACTTTTCATATAAAAGCCAATCGTGGATGACCTTGAAAGTCATTGAATGGAAAGTTATTTTCTAACATAAAAATGAAGGTTAAGCTATACGGAATTAGCATTTTTATACGAAAATCATTTCATAGATATAGAAAGTCAAAAAATATAGATTTGGTTTGTATCGAATACTCTTTGCGAAAGCTTTTACTAGTGATGTGCCAAACATTTCATTTTTGTATTTAACTGCAAGTATCATGGTTCGTCTTGGGTATATACCCATTAATAAGACCATTTCACCCCTATGTAGGTGTCTTATTAAATTAATATTAATTTTATTTTTCTTTTTCAGAGTTTGATGGCGATTATCAAGTTTGGCTACATGCTCGTCGTTGTCACATTACTCCTGATGATATGGGCCTCTTTGGCGAGAGCATTAGAAGTAAGTACAAATTAATTAATTTTTATTCAATCTATAACACTATTCCAAATTTTCATTAACACATCCGTAGTTTATTAGAGTAGATGCGATGCAAAATTTAAAATTATTCGAAAATTGTTTACAAAACAGGGTGTTCATAAAACAAGTTCATACATAGGAAATACAATATTGTTACGATTTTAATTATACTTTCATTGTTTTCGGACATCCTGTATATTAAGTTTTGGCAGTGTAGGTAAATTACAAGTTTATTAAATTAATACAAAAACTATAATTCATTGGCATTATGGCAATATTGTTTGTATTTTAGACATAATGTTTTTAAACAGTAAACTGAAGCCGACAAACCGAAGCTGCAGGCTGGCGGAATGCTGCTTTTACCGTCTATTTTTAAAAGAAAAAAATGAAGAGACTATATCTGCCTCTAATAGCTCTGCTAATATGTTGCCGTCGGTCCAAGTGTTATTCCGGACCTATTAAGGTATTTTTCCACTGTGGATGATTCGCATTTCGTGTTTCACGTTGTATTTTTGTGGTGACTCGATTGGTACATTCATTGTTGTGGAAATTCATTGCAGCTAGTACTTATGTGATGCCCGTTTTGATAGTTAAAAAAACAAATTCACATCACACTTTACGTCACTAGAACGTAGAATTAAACATTCAAAGCCATCACACAATCATAAAATAAGAAAAAACAAATATCGTTTACAATAATCGAATAATTTCACTATCGATATTTTGACGTCCATCACTAGTTGAGTTTACATTGACAGCTGTCAAAACGGGTTTGCTCTTAGTAATAATTTTAGAGCATTTGGTAATTAAATGGTACAGACAAGTCATGATTGGTACTAACATATTAACATGTTAAATAAAACTAATTTTAGATCGTTTTTTGATGTCGTTATATTTACTAACAAATACTAACTCCGTTGATTGGTTATCTGATAGTTGTGACTAATTTAGGAACGAGTAAAACGCTTCGATGTTTCTTGCAAACTTGGTTTGGCTTTGTACGACTTTGGTTATAGATTGTTTTGTTTTGTTGTATTTGAAATGTTGTTGCATTGATTTCTAACACCATTTGAAGGAGAGGAACGTGACAGGAAGAAAAAAAATTGGTGTCTTTTACCATATTTTTTTTGTTTTCTTTTATATATTAATATACGTATATTAATTCGTGAATGTATTTATCATGTCTAATGTGATAGTGTCTTCTTTCTGTCACCAGCCACGAACAACAAAGCTCTGAAACTAACAAAAAACACAACTTAAACTGCATTTAAAAACTTTTGTGTCAAATGCAAAACCATTATAAAATAAACTATGATTTTTTTATTCTCAAATAAGATTAAGACAAACATACTAGGACAATTGTTATTTACTATACTGTTGATTAAAATTCCGTGGTTATGATATTTAAAAGTTCACATACTAACGAGTGAGTTACGTTTATTACCCAGTAACAAACGTGCCCAGTGTAAATGTAGGTAAATATTCCGTAACACTCCACTGACGTATAACTCTGAAACGTTATTACTGGAATTAAAAGACGTGCTCATGCCGTTGTTCGCTTGTTAATGTACGTTGTTCCCTTTATTACGAGCAATAGGGTTGTCAGCAGTTCGCATTTCCTAATTAAATTTTACTTTATTAATCCTGAATTCATTAAGCGACAGAACTAAAAGACAACTGTACCAAACTTGCGATTAATTTGTCAAATACTAGCTGTCGCTCGCGACTCCGTTCGCTTGGAATTAAAAAAAAACTGAATGATAAGCTTATATGTTCTTCCAGAGTATGATCTACATCTGTGTCAAATTTTATCAAGAGCCGTTGAGCCACTCCAGAGATAACTTCAAATAAACATCCATCCATCCACCTAAACATTCGCATTTATAATATTAGTAAAGAGTAACGAGGTAATCCGGCATGAATAATTTTGGCACAGCAAAAATTATTCAACTTCGTAACTATATTTTCACATTTAATTAAATATCTAAATAAAAACACAAACACGTCTAAATCTTAATAAATATTACATTACCATGATCAAAATGTTTTCTAAATATATATTTATTTACCATTGGCAACCCTACGTCGAATAAGAAAACCAATAACACTTCATAGTAGAACCCTCGAAATCCATCTACGTAAGAATATAGGTCCGTAAATAGAAATTGGCAACACATTTAACTGTTTTACATCTTATCCGAGTTGAATTATGTAATAATATAAAATGGAAATGGCCGTACAGGCAACTTTCTTTTGCCTTATTTTATACAAGCTATGTACTCGTATGTACATATGCCCGCGTCTTCGTCAGTGTGGATTACTGTCTTTGGGAAGCATTTTGTAATGACTCCATAAATTTAACATCATAATAAATCTAATATTTTGTCTCTTGCCACAAACGTATAAAACTTAAACCTTACATACGAGTATATCCATACAATGATGGATGAAAGCATCCTCTATTTCCTAATATTCTACGCCTTTCAGGGTAAAAGTTTTACTACTTTCGAATGTCATTTTTATATCATAAGGTGGCTAACGAGCTAGGTGCCACCTGAAATCTCTGAAATAGCGAAGTGAGTTGCTCATAGACATACGCAATTGCATATGCGTTGCCTACCTTTAATCGACGGAGGAGAGGATGCACAGAAATAAAATATTTTCCCTTTCCATGCATCCTCTCATCCGAAAAGGCTACTTCCACTTCCCATCCTTTCCTTATAAGAAAGGGAAAGAGGACTAAATTATGCCTCCGGGCCGCACACTCAACAGACGAAACGCGGAATTGCTTCCACTTGACGCCTGTCTTCTGTGTGGTCGTGGTATTTCACCGGGCGAGCCGGGTCAATTCGTGCGAAGATGTTAAAGCGGGGTCTACCACTGTTATTATCATTCTTTGGGTATTTCAAATCTATAACAAATAATTAGATACGCAGTCGGAAAAAAGGTTCTCTGAAAATAAATAGAAAGACATTTTATATTTGGCACAGTTTCGGAAATACTTTTCTTGTGATATTAATAACATCATGTTTTCTTATTGTAATATATTCCACCCGAAGATTTCCTATCGTTTTTACTTAACCTCCTCAATATTTTCCTTTAGATACGGTTTATTTATTTTATGCTTAGAAAGCCTTATTTTATGGATATCTTTAGTTATGAAAGTGAAAAGAATTCGTAACTAAATGGATTATTGGGGCACTTCTAAAAATGGAGACATTACACAATGTATTTTTTCCATCTGATCCTTCGTCATCTTTAGTAATGTTATAATTTATACAAAAGTCTTCCATACATCTCTTCTTCTTCGTATTCTTCAATACTGAAGGTCGTGCTTGTCTTGATACGCTCTAACTGTGTCGACCAGCTGCCTCCACGCCGTCCTGTCTTGTGCACATCTCTATGTGCCTTTAATATTTGAATTCATTCCATTCTTACACTCAATCTTATCACACTTCCTTATGTCTTTCTCAACATTTTCTTGTCCCATAATTCTTGAATCTAGATCACTTTAATTGAAATGATACAGAGATAATTTATAAAAGGATTCGTGGATAATTTATAGAAGCAGCATTCCAACTGGAATGCAGATATCAGTGTAAATATTTACATTAGCCTGATTTTTACATTCACATGTCATATCCAGTTTTTAATACTCAAAGACAGAATTTAACATTATAAAAATCATTCATGTAATACAACCAATGTAATTTTTCACTTTAACGTTTTGTATTAAGAGCATTCCGAAACTTTACACTTTTCTTCTAAATTTCAGCTAAAAAACACACAAAACCTGACATTGCTAACTCACACATATATACCTCATTAACACACATACACAAATGTATAAACTGTAGAACTCCTCTTGAGATGTTTCTCTTGTTCTAGATACACGTGGACACTGGCCACCCGCCGTGTCTGTTCCAAGCGCTATGCACGTGCTCGAAGCCCGCGGGCGACCTGGGTATAGTCACGTGCAAACACGTACCCATCCTCAGGGTGCCCGCCGCCGTCAACAGTTCCAAAGTATTCACGCTACAGCTCACGGGGAACAAGATTAGAGATCTGGAACCACAGTTTTTTCAAACGACAGGTAATTTTTCTTAATTACATTCCATCAGTCCTCTTTCCATTACATCCATTTATCACGGAAAGTCGACACTATTCCCTCTTAGGCAAACTTTGAATCTTGTTAATTTTGTCACTTTGTAATTATATCCATCTTGATTTTCATCACCATCATCTTTAACAAAATTATCTTCACCATCTCTGTCAAAAGACTTTTGCTAAACTATAGTGTTTTTTGAGAGAACCATTTCTTAATAATTTTAGAATCTGAACATTTATCAATCAAAGTTTCATTTTTAGGGTTCCGTACCACGAAAGGAAAAAAACGGAACCCTTATAGGATCACTGTATTATCCGACCGTCTGTCTGTCTATCAAGACTCTTTTTTTTCTTTACTCAAAATATTTTATCACGTTTTGTTTGTTTAAAACACAGCCTAAGATCTCTATCTATATATATCTATTAAAAAATCTGCGTTTTTCTAAAGCTTATTCTAGTAGAGCTTCATTCAGTGTCAATAACATAAGTGGATTTATTATAATTGACGTCCCACGTATTCGATGTGAGCCTTTAAATGGATTATTGCATGGCTATTTTTATAAGTCGAAGCTTAAAGGTCGCAAACTGACTGATAGGATTTACCACTTCGATGAATTCTGTGTATAGAGTTAACATTTCTATAAATGTTACAAGGAGATTTATTTTTCAATATGTTACAGAGCCATAGTAATTACGTATCTCATTATAGTTAAATTAAGCCGTTCATTGTAACACAACACGACGAACAAGATTAAAACAGTTAACAGGAACGGAGATAAACTCGAGCAATGTCAATTAACGTTTCGATCCACAGTAATTCCCAAAGTGTCTTCAACGTATTAACAACGTAGGTGTACAGTCGCGTTCATTCGTGGTATCCTCTAAAGCGATAATAGCTTGTATGTATTGAAACTATACATTATCAGCTCACTATATGTCCCCAATGAGGTTTCGAAGCCTACCCTAAGTTAGGAGTGACTAGGACACAGTCAACCACGCTGGACCAGTACGATTTGGTTGACGTCACACATATCTTTGAATTTCTTCTCAGATAGGTTGTATCACGATGTTTTCTATCGCCGTAAGAACGGATAAATGTACATATGTAAATCGAAAAACATATTGGTACATGGTGGAATTCGAACCCAAGACCTTACAGATCACAAGTCAAGTACCTAAACCCCTGTGCCACCGATGTTCTTGAAACTGTATATCTAAATAATGTTATTAAAAAGAATTCCATTCTAATAGTTTGAGGAACACCGAAAGTAAAGTTTAAGATTTCAACGAAACATCATAAGCATTCTAATTGTTTATTCGTAATAAGTTCCAAGTTTAACATGAAGCAAAGCAATTTTTCTCTTACTGGAACACTGCGAATGTAGGAGACTGAACAAAGTAACACATGGTTTCATCTTGTTTCTAATCAATTTCAGGTCTCTACAGACTGGCGATAAACCAGAACCCTTTGGAGAGTGTACATGAGGAAGCATTCTACGGACTTGACAATACATTATGGGAACTGGAACTGAAATACGACAAACTGACGGCTGTGCCGAGCAGAGCGCTGAGATATCTACAGAAATTGAGGTTGCTGGATCTGACGGGTGAGTGGGATCGTCTTTTCAATTAATTTCATTGAAAAAATCTTTATTCTTAACCGTCTTCAAAAAAGAGGAGATTCTCAATTCTTCCATATTTCTTATTGTTGATATTATCAAATTAAATTTACTTGTGTGGTTTGAACGTTGAACTTGAATTGTTATAAAATTTAAAGTAACATTACCTTCCAAAGAATGTTTGTTCTTATCGAGGTCTACTACTTCGTTGTATTGATTTTTGGTGTATTTGATAGCAATTAGCAAACCAATGGAATCCTTTGAATTTGGGTTAGCAAGGGTTATGTCCATAAATTTACGAATAAGGACAATATAAGTTCATTAATTAAGTGTATTTCAATTGTTAAATACCCTAGAGTTGTATTTGTGTTGATGTAAATTACTATTTAAATTTCCTACGTAACTTAATATAGTGTATTTATTACGACCATTAATTACTAGCAGCATACCTGTCACTTTAACAATTTAATTTACTTTATACCTAATACTTAGTGATGTTGACTGTTTTATAATAGTAATTAATGTTAGATAATTCAACAGCACGTTTTTAAACTTATATAAAAACGGCTAAAACACTCACGTATATTCATCCGGTGGCGGCATCGACTAGTTTCGAGCCCATCGGGGGCCCTTCATCAGGGTGAGTGACGTGAGTTTTATCCGTTTTTCTATAAATTTATCATAATGTCTCACGAAAGTTGAAATAATATGGTAATTTTTTATTTGTTTTTAACTTCTTTTTAGTAGTACGAGATCTCTTCTACTAATTTTATCCAATTCAAACTAGGTGATAGCACTTCATAAAGGCATAACTAGTTGAGTACCACTGTCACTTTTTTCAACGAAAAATTACTTTTTCATATTTTGGCATTCAACGTTCCTGAGCCCCTACCATGAACTACTTTCACGAAGTTATATTTCGTATTTCAGGCAACGAGATAACGGATATATCTGGTGACAACTGGCGAGGTTTGGAGAATACATTGCACACGCTGGTCCTGGCCGAGAACTCTATCACCAGCCTGCCTCTGGACGCTTTCTCCGGCCTACCTGTACTAGAGGTGCTCGATCTGCATGGAAACAATTTAGCTGTCATCGATAGCGGGGTGTTTAGAGATGGAATGAATAGACTGAATAAGGTATCGGATGATACTGCTTAACTGGTTGATAAAGAACAAAATTAGATCTAAAAATCTTAACCAATTTTTTTCTGTTCCAGCTTCTATTAAGTGATAACCAACTCTCGTTCATTCCCTACGAGGAGTTGGCTCCACTCCGCCAGCTGAGATACCTGGACCTTTCCAACAATGTAATCAAACAAGTGCCCCCAACCCATGAACTGAACGGAGTCACATTGTCCTTGGACAATTTAAAGTGAGTTTTACTATTAAATGCAATTTGGAAATAAAGTATTTTGTGCATCTACATGTTACTTTAAAATATTTTTATCTTTTTTCAGATTAGATCACAATCTCATCGGCACTTTAATGCCTGGATCCTTCAAATACTTTAATGTTTTGAACTCCACATCTTTGGATGGTAATCCTATTTATTCCTTGAGGGTAAGTGGATCCGAAATCCTTCGCTATTTTTTTTTATTTAAGAGTCACATTTGTCAAACTTCTGTTAATCAAATTCTTTTAACTCTAAAATTTTTCTTTTGACAACAATTGAAGTTCCTGTCTGTTCTTTTTTCAGGAAGATGCGTTCAGAAACGCTAAGATAAAATCCCTTTCTCTTCGCGACTGTAGCATTTCGGATCTTTCACCGGCGTCATTCGCTGGTCTGGAGAACAGCCTGCAAAGCTTGGATCTCGCGGAGAACAATCTCACCATGTTGTCAAAGATCATGCTTAATAAATTAGATTCATTAAGATTGCTGAATCTACGTGAAAACAAGGTAAAAAGGTCTTTCACAATATTTTCCTTTCTTTGTCTACTACTAATCTGTTTAAGATTCAGTCGAATGTGAATAAATAATTTGATTGTGCGTTTCAGGTGGATAGTAATTTACTCTCTACAAATAATCCATCGGAGTTTACACCCACCACTTTCAATAACTTCCAATACAAATTGTTTTACTTGGACATAAGCGGTTCGTCATCGTTAGAAACGAGTTTACAGGATATAAGAAAGTAAGACAATATCAATATTTATCAAACAATTATTATAAATGCGAATATGAAGACGGATGGATGGATGTTTGTTTGAATTTATCTTCAAAAAGGCTGAACAGATCGCGATGACATTTGGAATACATATAGAACATAGTCTGGAAGAATATATAGGCTACCATTTTTTTTTAATCCAGCCCGAGTCAGAGAGAGGTCAGAGTTGCGGAAAACAAATAGTGTTATCAAACAGATTCCCTTTTATTATTGTTACTTCTTTCTGCATTCATATGCAAAAGTGCCAAATAATTTTAACGTACGTCCTTCTTGAACTACCAACGTCTTCCACATCATGTTTTCGTCTGTCTCTTGTTTTATGTTTTGGATTTTTTGCAGAATGAGATCACTAAGATATCTCGCTGTAAGTAAATTGATTAGAAGAAGTATAAGCTCAGAAGACTTTCTCGAATTCGGTGTGGAGCTGGAAGATCTAAAAATATATGGAAGTACGATAAATAAAATAGAGGCAAGCGCATTCCAGTACGTCCGAACGATTAAGACTTTGGACTTGTCTGAAAACAATATTGACTATATTGATCCATTCGCATTTGCTGAGGTAAATTTAATTTTCATGAACATCTAAACTTTTACGAGTACACGTAACATTTTATAAACTAATGTTTCCATATTTATTTCAGCTGCACAGTCTAACAACTCTTAAAATGGCAAATGGTTTAGACGACTCGGTGAAAATACTACCGTTTGAACCCTTGAAAGCCCTCATTGAACTTCAGTACTTAGATTTAAGCAATAACAAAATAAAGAACGTCCCGGATACATCATTTCATTTCCTTTATAAATTAAAAATGCTTAATCTGCAAGACAATGCAATAGACCACTTCTCCAAAGGAACTTTACAGGTAAACAATTTTTCTCTAAATCAAACATTAACTAGCAATCGCTTTTGTGTATGTAAAATTAAAAAATATGATTTTATTCAATTTTCTTCGATTTCAGGGAGACATACATAGATATTTGGAGAGCGTTTGTTTGTCTCTGAACCAAATGACTCAAATAGCGCAACATACATTCGTGGACTTGAGAGAACTGCAAGAAGTTTTGATTGAGGATAATCAAATTGAAAATATTCAGAGACGAGCATTCACTAGTTTAGATAATTTGAAAGTTATCAAACTCAGGGGAAATAGGATTATTGATATAACTGAAGAAGCATTCCAAAATCTACCCGCTCTGAAAGAGTAAGTTTTTGTGCACCTAGTAAAAGAAAAAAAAACGGTACAGTATCTTTAGAATTTTTGTTATGTTGCAACTTTTTTTTCAGATTGGATGTATCGTTTAATCGGCTGGAAACTTTCAAGTTCTCTATTTTCGACCAAGTTGGCTCAGCCACTGCGTTGAAAGTCAATGCCTCTTACAACCGCATTACAACGCTCACCGATTCCAATGCACCTACATTCTTTTCATCTAACTTTTACCCACCACCAAAACCTCAAAGTGAGTAAATTTGAATATAAATTTAGTAATTTCCCCAATTATGATTTTATCTCTTTATGTTAATTTCTAATTATTTCTTCCTATTTTTTTCTTACTTTGCATCTAAAGGGTTGATTTCTGACAATGCGATTCCACTCCAACAAGGTGAATCAACTTCATGTTATATCCCTTTTTTACCATTCAACCAACTTTCATCATTTTGTTATTGTATGCATTTTTAATCAAATCCAAATATAAAATCGTTATTCGCTCTTATCCAACATGATGCTTCAAATCATTTATTTCGAAGATTCTAAAAATTATTTAGTAAAATGTAATTTTTACATTTACCAGGTATGGGAACAGTTACGGTCAATATTCGAGTACTGGATTTCTCTCACAACAATATTACATACATCGCGCCGTATTACTTCAGGTATACCAAATTTAACTTAATTATCTAGATAAATAAGAAAGGTTAATGCGTATCACTTGAAATTGAAACCTAAAATCATCTAAGATACTCAAATATCCTGTGGATCTTTTAAATCATTTACCGTGAGCTTCTCACACCAAAATCCCCGTTTAAAACATATCGTTATCTCTGTTTTGTCAAAGACGAAAGACAGGGATTTATTTTATACAGAGATTTGGTTGTCAGAAACCCACAGTCCGACTGTTAAATCATCATCATCAGCTCACTGTACGTCCCCACCGAGGGGCTCGGAGCCTACCCTAAGTTAAGGGTGATTAGGCCATAGTCAACCACGCTGGCCAATTGCGGGTTGGTTGACTTCATACATATCTTTGAATTTCTTCTCAGATATGTGCAGGTTACATCACGATGTTTTCCTTCACCGTAAGAACGTCGGATAAGTACATATGTAAAATCGGAAATCGAAAAACACATTGGTACATGGCGGGATTCGCGCCCAGGACCTGCAGGTTGCAAGTCAAGTGCTTGACCACTGAGCCACCGACGCTCCAGACTGTTAAATGCCTACGTGATTTGTGAATTAACTGTGTGCATGTAGTTATTTCAATTTTATTCTTGAATATCTCATTTCAGGCATGCCGATCTCACTCTATCAGAGTTGTATCTTTCACACAATTTGCTTAGAAATATAACGAGGGAAGTTTTCGGATCGATGCTAATGCTGCAGTATCTGGATTTGTCTCATAACCACATATATCACATGGAATACGATTGCTTTAAGAAAGTTAAGAATTTACAGGTGAGACTGTAAACCGAAAATCCAGTTATTTTGCCTGGAATTTGTGACTGCGATACTCTCTAAAAAGCTTTTAAGTTTTATTGGATCAACAAGGATTCGTTTTTATAAAAATATCAGCAGAATTTTGTTAATTTAATATTTCTTGTACCATTCCAAGTCAGCTCTTTGTGATAGGATATGGTTTACGACGATAGTCGAATGGCGGGATTCGAACTCTCGATCACCCTTAACCATTAGCTATTGGCGCTTTAAAATTTATAAATATAAATTTATGATGTCTTTTTCAGATTGTCGATTTATCACACAATCACCTCATTGAAATGCCTATAGAAGTCTTCCATGAGATGTTAGCGTTGACTTCTGTTGATTTGTCTGACAACCGAATTAAGAACTTGGCTGACAATCTCATTATTTCCCCATCTATCGAAAGGTAACAAGATTATCAATATTGCCTAGTATTGTTATCAGCTTTCGTCTTAAGTCATACTAAAATGTGTCACTTCTCTGCTTTTAAACAAACAAGAAATTTTACATTTATCTTAAACTAGCTGTCGCCCGCGACTCCGTCCGCGTGGATATATAAAAAACTTAATAAGTGCAGCCTATGTGTTCTTTCAGACTGTGTTCTATACGTATTCCAAATTTAATCGAGATCTGTTCAGCCGTTCTAGAGATATCTTCAAAAACCCATCCATCCACATCACATCCATCTAAACATTCGCATTTATAATATTAGTAAGTTAAATAAAGAGCAGCTCTTCAAGGCATAAATTCGAAAAAAAAATGAATAAATAGTAACCTACGTCCGTTTCCTGGCTCTAAGCTACCTCCTCACCAAATTTCAGCCATATCGGTAAAGCCGTTCTTAAGTTATAAATAATGTAACTAACCCGACTTTCTTTTATATATAATACATAGATTTCAATTCTTTCTCTAAGTTTTTTTTTTATTTTTAACAGATTGGATCTATCGAATAATGATTTATCAAGAGTACCAACAAATTGTCTATCCCACGCAGCCGCTGGTAACTTGGTAGAATTGGATCTTAGCGGCAATACTATTCCAGCTGTTTCTATTACTGATCTAGTTCAAAGATTCCGGGTAACTATAAATTAACTTGCACTATCCAAGGGACATACAGATTAAACCAAAAATTAACATGTTGTTTGAGTAGTTTTGAAAATTTGCTTGTAATATGTATTTTTTATAATATTGAAATTATTAAATGTAAATACGACTGATACGTACAATGTTCTATGTTTAAGTATTTTGATGTATATGTTTACTAAAAATTCATTTGTTATGACAATTTCATCATATGTCGGTTCTTTGTTTAGAAGTTTATCTAAAACATCTTTGTTTTGTTACCTATTTTGCTTTTATATTTGAGTCTTTGAATTATAGGTAAATATGACATTAAATTGATTGATTAGTATTTACTTTGTTTAATAACAAATAACCGATATTCCATCCAGTATAAGTTACTGTTAATGTAGTTGTTTGAGCCAGTGTGTGCGTAGTTAAGCTAACTTGTGGCCTTGCCCCCGCATGTCGCCAGAGCCCCGACCAGGACTACTGGCCTGAGGACCACGACGACTACAACGACGAATACATGTACCACACTGCTAGACGGGATCACACCAGAGTATTCCATCAAAAAAAGCAATTCCCGCAGAATATTTTGTACAAGGTAGACCGCTGTTAGATCCTGTACTAACTTTGTTTAGTGTACTAACCTTATTCTGCACTTTTATTTGTTTGGGTATTTTACTAATTTTCTCTCTTCTGTATATTTTCCTTTTTATGTCTTTTTACTTCATGATTTTTTTTTATTAGCAATTATGTTATACATCACTATTTTTCTTTTTTATTTGAAGTAAGTATGTGCTTTGATCTTTTTTCAATTGATATTATTATGTTTTCTTTACAACTATATTTAAATAAAGTATACTTTTTTATGAATTCCAATAGCATGATGACATTTGGTGCTTGGTGACGGTTACTATTTAACTAGAAAAAATCGAATTTTATATTAACTGCTTTAATATCGAATCTTTTCAAATATGTTATAATTTTCAGTCCCTAGCATGGTTGGATTTGTCCGACAATCACTTGGTGCGTGTCGAAGGCGGATCATTTGGTGCGTTACCGAAACTGCGATGGCTGGACTTGAGCAACAACTCACCATTCAATCCAAGTGAGCGTGTCAACACAATGTTCAAAGGTCTAGAACGAAGACTATCTCATTTGGGCTTGAAGAATGTTAGCTTAGTATCTGTAAGTGTTCTTTGGCATTAATAACATTCATGTATTCTTTCTCAAACGTATAATTATGAAGAGATAGAAGAAATATGTCGTACAATTAAAAATATAGAATTTCAGCTGATGGGAGAAGCATGTCTTTTACACTTCTGACAGCACCGTCTTTTAATGTATAATTTCTTTCAGATTCCATCTATGTCATTATCAAAACTAAAAAGTCTAGATCTGTCATACAATAACTTGCCATCGATATCACCAGAGACTACAGGAAACTTGACTAGACTAAGAGTTCTAGATCTCTCGTACAATGACTTCACCAAAGTACCGGAGGCAACACATTCATTAACCAATCTCCGTTGGCTGTCGTTATCTGGGAATCCTATCACAGCTTTAAGGAACACCAGTCTCTATGGCGTTTCACCACGTTTGGAATATCTGGATATTACCCGCCTTCGCCTGAATATTTTAGAGGTATATTTTAAGATTGTGCGGCTTGTGAGGCGGCGGAAAATGCTAAAGCAAGCAAATACAGTGGTCTAGGCTCCGAATATGATTTTGTCCCATTCTGCGTCGAGACCCTTGGCTCGTGGGGTCCTAGCGCTTTAAGGCTTTTTAAGGATATTTCAAAAAAGTTAAACGACATTACAGGGGACCGAAGAGCTGGCAGCTACCTCGGACAAAGAATTAGTTTAGGTCTATTCAAAGGGGGAACGCTGCCAGTATCTTCGGAACCTTGCCTAAAGGGACTCCTTTTAATAATATTTTCTAGTAAATTATTCGTTTTTAATATTTAAATCATATATATAGTTACGTAAGCACCTTACTTTTGACCACCAAAGCAATGTCTATTTTAAGATTTATTTATGAAATGTTTTAAAGCACCTTTTATTTAATGTACGTATTTTTTGCAGCACGGTGTATTAAGTAAAATGTTTAGTTTGCGTACACTAAAAGTAAATGTGTATCCCAGTGTAAGAGATTTCAACATACCACAATTGGTAACATATAATGCTGCCTTAGAAAACCTCCAAATCGAAGTAGACGATCCACAAGTAGATCTTGGTAAAGAGATGACCGGTGAATTACCCGGGAAGCTGAATAATATAACATTAACTGGAAGATCTTTGAAGTTTATATCTCAATATTTACTGAGTGTAAGTATATTTTTAACTGATATGTTTTTTTATGATTTAACCTGAGAGTCAACTTGCGAATACGTACCAAGATTCCATAAAATCAAATATACTTCCTTAAATTCATGATTCTGTAGTAGGCCCAATATCACATTTGAAATCTAAGCAGCAAACTAATGTTAACTATTAATCTTTTTCTTGCAGGGAGTGCAATCAAAGGTCTTACGACTGACAATACAAAACACAAGCGTCGAAGACATCGCAAGCGAAGTATTCTGGAAGCCGGGGCGCATTAAGAATTTGACTTTAGACCTGAGATACAACAGCCTGGCTAGAGTGCCCAATCCAGCCCAAAAAGAATGGCCAGGCGTCCCCAACCACTTGTTCCTCCATGATATCCTGGTAGCTGGAAATCCCCTTGCATGTGATTGTGGAATTGGGTAAGATTCCTCTTTAAATTTTCACTTTCTGTTAATCCAACCAAGCTCAAGCCAACCTCCATTAAATGGAGAGGCATGCAGAGAGGGAGAAAGAGAGTAATACTCCAAAATGCAGTAAAAGCGCTAATAGTCCAAATCCAATTAATGAATATGTACTAAGAATAATGTATTTTAAATTAACTTCATGCTTCCTTTCAGATGGATTGAAGCTTGGGATCGTAAAAGAAGACAATACCTTTGTGAGAGTCCTTCAGATTGTGTTGCCACGAGGGACGATGTTAGGTTCTCCGTCTGCCCGTTGTACAGCAATCGAACTTTAATTGACGTAAGTGTCTATTTCTGGATTTTTAGTACTCTGAATAACATTATCTGTTCCCTTCTTATTTAATTCTGTTTTTATTTTTCAGGTACTATCAAAGGAATTAGACTGCAGTTGGAGCCGAGGATTTTTGTTGTCACCAAATTTAATCATTATTTTAGCAATGTCAGTTTTAACATATCTTTATATTTGAGGACTGTTTTGGCTTCTAGGAATTTACGAAGAGTTTTATAGAATACTATCAACGGTGTATACATTTTGAGCTGAAGTGAAATTGTTTCCAAAAAAAAAACAAAGAAGGATCACATCAAATTTTAATATCTCTATAATTCCACTATTTAAATCAGATTGAAGACGTTGATAGTTCTTCAGATTGTACCTGTAATATGGCCTAGTAGCATTTCTGTAATAGCCAAATCCTTGTTAGTGTAGTTTTTGATAGAACCCTAAGACTCCGCGAGATTATTTGATGGTGAATACAAAAGTGTATAATTGATATTAGGAATGGATATTATGAGGGATAAGAAGCCAGAAAAATTTGTTATTAGTTATTCAAAAGGAAGATTATCTTATGATCTCTAGTGATTCGATCTATGTTTATGTTATTGTTGCAATTTATTCCCCCTGTATCGTGCACTTTGAGTTTGCTTCACAATATACAGAGTGTTTTGCTTTTCGTTCAATGTCCAAGATCTACACATTTCGTGCACTGTCTGGTGATTGTTTGTTTGAAACTTTAATTAAAATTTGGAGGAGAACGCTTAATGTAGATACTATGATCAATGTAATATAAGTATCTGGAAGTGCACTTAATGTCATGTAGATATTGCATTTAATTCGAATTAAGATAAGTTGAATTGAAAGCAATGACTTAATTATTATTCTCTAAGTAGACTGCATTCGCTCGAATGGTATGTGTTCGTCCATTATTAATATTAACAATATTATTTATAGATATGTTTGTTTGTGTATTAGGCTTAACTAGTTATAAATCCATTGGATCAATGTAATATACCTAATTGAATGTTGTTAAATTTTGTTTGACCCTCTTTATATAATCTAATGCATAGCTATATACATACTTTTATCTTTCTCTGTTTGAATTAGTGTTATATTTTTCAAATCTCTATACATTAACAAAATTAGTTAAGCGTCAATCAATGGTAAAAATTTAAAATCTCGTTATTTTATCTTTCAAATTTTATCTGGTTATTAAATTTAAAATATTTTATTACATATTTCAATATACTTATTGGTGAATACCTAAAATTATATAAAGCATGTTGTAATGTATAAAAACTTTGATAATAAGGTACTTTTCCACTAATTTAAAATGCTGATATTACGCATTTATTCATTTGTTAATCTTTATTTTCTCCTATAAAGTTTTCTTCTGAATAATACTTCTTTTTTTTAGAATGCACGCTAGATTTTGGTACTAATAAGCACCTAACAATATTGATTGCATTTTAGATTTAGTTAAAAAAATATTTCTGTATAATTAACGAATGAATCAGATATACCTCTTCATCAGTGGTCCAGTCTGAATATGGTGTCAGGCCTACTTTAAGTGGCTATTTCCACTAAGCAATTAACCGCGTGGGTAACGTGTGAAACATTTATGAGGTGATCGTTATGACAATCATGTGTTGTTGGATTTGCGCGGTTAATTGCTTAGTAAAAAAGGCACTAAGACATTTGTTTTCTATACCATTCCATTTTTTAATTCTTACAAAAATATATCTTGATTTTGCTATTAAATTATTTTTGATTGAACGCATATTACTAAGTTCTTTGTATGATATAGTTTGGTTTTTGATTTTCACTGATTTTGGTATACTTTTTATTTGAGTTACAATATTTAATTCTTGCTTTGTTGTGATGCAGTGGTATAGAAAACAGTGTTATAACAATGAATATATTTTGTGATATATATAAACTCTAATCCTTCTATTTTTGATAAGCCTACGATGAATATTAATAAACTGAACGGGAATTGTATAGCTGATTTAAATTTTTAGTATAAAATAGTTGCTCTTTACAACTCCTTAGCTTATTTATTGAATATTATGTCAATTGAAACTACAATTTTTGCAATTAAAAGTAATTAAAATTTTTAAATTATCGTAGTACATGTCAAAATAGTATTGTTTTCTCTATTTTATGGAACAGTGTGAAAGAGATGGTCATATTGTTACACAGGTATGTAACCTCATAAAAAAATCGATTTTTCAAAATTTACTATTAAATATCTGCATACGAATTCCGGTATAAATAGCTTTATAGAATCTACGCATATGCAAATATTGTAGCTTTAAAATTAATTAAGTTTTTTAAGACCCTAAAGGGCATCAAAATTATAACATTCCAATGATTTCTTTACTCAAGTGTACAAGTAAATTAAATACTACTTATTACATTCAAAGAATTTCTTATCGTTCTCGTCAAATAGTTTTGTCTTACCTGAAGTTAAGTAACATGACGGAATTAAAAAAAATGACTCACTATGGGCTTCAGAGACCAAAATCTCTGTATAAAATATATCGTCATTCTTGTCATTATTTTTAGTAAAACATAATTTGAAACGGATTTTAGTCTCAGAAACCCACAGTAGGTAAAGTATTTCTTAATTCCGTTTTTATTAAATCGAAAAAAAAAAATCATAGATGAATATCTCTTTATCTTTTAAAAATTATGTTTTAACTGTTTCTTACTATATATATTGGATAATATGCCTTATCTTTCAGTGGAAACGACCCTTAAAATGTGATATGGATGTTGAATTTTTACTAATCGCAGTAAAAAATCCATTAAGGCAGAACTCCTATTTATTATGTAACTTACAGTATTTTGACCACTTATGTAATACATCAAAATTCTTTTTTTTTTCAATATAAAATCAACCTGCAAGGTCCGAATGTGATAGATACATATAGATAGTGCCAACTATTTTAAGTATAGATTTATCGATCTTAATAAATTCTTGCTGTTAACAACTTTATCCGATTGGTGCCTATAAAGGTACGTGTACATCATCCCGCGGCGGACGCACCGCACGCATGCAACGGATTTTAGTTTGCTTTGAATGATTTTCCTTAACGCTGCGTTTCCGTGCCTCCCGCATTGAAAGGCATTTATCAAGCAATCGGTTGCGGGCTGTGTGTGCGGTGCGTCTGGCGCGTCAAATGGATGCGTACCTTAAATACTAATTACGTAGACTACATGATTTTACTATAGTAGAAGTTTTTTCAACTTATCAATCGCTTCGATGACATCTATGGTTTCAGGCAGCTTCTTAGGAATTTGTAGGATGCTAGGAATATGTTAGAATTACTAATAAATTCAAAAACACCGATGTAACATGCAATTTAAAATTATTTGATTTTATATTAATTTATGCTTAATAGGCTAGAATTTTTATATACATTCTCCAATCGGATTAAGTTGTTACTATTTGTAGTTTGACTAACAAGGGACTTATCACAGATAAGTTATTATTAAGTTATTCGCTTGAATGTCAACGATTACTTATAAGGATGTTACGTTTTAAATATAAAAACTATTTTTAAGTTATAATGTGTTCATTCAATTGTTAATATTTAAAATGATTTGATTTTGCATGACTACGTTTTGCGTTGAAAGTTTGATTGATTTTTTTACTTATTAAAATACTTTTTATTGCAAAAAAAATATTTTTAATCTATGTTTTATTAAGTTTTTTTAAGATTGTATACCAAAATAATATGGTCAGTTTTCATTGCGTTATAAAAATATCGTGTTCTCTGTTTTTTCCAAGAGAATTTTAAGAGATAGCATGTTTTTGTATGTATGTAAGCGTCGGTGGCTCAGGGGTCAAGCATTTGACTTGTAATATGCAGGTCCTGGGTTCGAATCCCGCCATGTACCAATGTGTTTTTCGATATCCGATTTACATATGTACATTTATCCGACGTTCTTAAGGTGAAGGACAACATCGTGATGCAACCTGCATATATCTGCGAATCAATTCAAAGATATGTGTGAAGTTAACCAACACACACTGGGCCATCGTGGTTGACTATGGCCTTGTCACCCTTAACTTAGGGTAGGCTCCGAGCCCCTCGGTGGGGACGTATAGTGAGCTGATAATGATGATGTTTTTGTATATTTTTTGGCAGTGAAAACTCAATAGTATAAGTCCCTGTTAGCCATACTTATTTGGAATCGTTACTAAGCTATACGTGAATCGAATGTTTTGCCGCTAGGAACATTAAATTAAAATAAATTCGATTTAAAAATGTTTATCTACTTAATGAATCTTAATAGTGTGAATATATTAAAAATTGAATTATTAGAGTAAGAATAAATTATTGCATAAACATACATTTGTTTTAATTTCCAAACCTTAAATCTTAAGAATTATGAAAAAACCCACAAAAAGAAAAAGTTAGAAGTATACCATGGGTTTCTGAGACCAAAATTCACATTTTTTTTAACTCTAATCTCAAAGAAGAAAGACAGGGATAATCCTACTAATATTATAAATGTGATTGTTTACATAAATGGATTGATAGATGGATGGATGTTTATTTCAAGGTATCAGATATACACATATCATAAAACAGCTCAACGGATCTTGATGAAATTTGGCATGGATGTAGAACATAATCTGGAAGAACATAGAGGCTAATGAAGTTTCTTAATTCCGCTCGGATGGAGTCGCGGGCGACAGTTAGTTAAGATATATTTTTTTTATAATGAACGAAACCGCGATATTTTTCTCGCTTAACCTTTTTCTCCATCCCAAGATTCTCGCTTATGGACGTCAATACAATGACTCTTGCTTCTCTTTCTTCGACCGTATTTCAGTAATTAATCGATGAAGCCTCATAAATGAAAACGAAATAATTTGAAATCAGATACGAAGCCTTATTTATTGTTTTCTGCTATATATAATATAAAGGGTTTGTTTTATTATCTTGATAAATATATTCAGTAATTAAGTACTGAATCACGTTCTGATTATTTTGTTTAATTTATTAAGTTACGTAAAAATCAATCACCATCTTACTAATATTATAAACTAGCTGTCGCCCGCAACTCCGTCCGCGTGAATATATAAAAAAACTTAGCCTTCCCATCCATCCATCCACATCACATCCATCTAAACATTCGCATTTATAATATTAGTAAGTTAAATAACATTAATAAAAAGCTGCTCTTCAAGGCATAAATTCGAAAAAATGAATAAATAGTATCCTATGTCCGTCTCCTGGCTCTAAGCTACCTCCTAACCAATTTTCGACCATATCGGTAAAGCCGTTCTTGAGTTATAAATAGTGTAACTAAAATGACTTTCTTTTATATATATAGATGACAACTCAAGAGTCTCTCGCTAAACAGTTGGATTAAGGGCCCGATACACAAAGCAGTTATTCTAGAAACCGCGTGCATCGAGAGAAGGTTCCTGTCTCTGCAGCCCTGACATGTTACTTCAGTCATGAGATTCCACAGCCGGTGGTACTCTATTTTTAATATTTTTTTTATCTTTTATATCATCTCCCGACTGCATGGATCCCACTAAAATAATCTGGAAGAACACATAGCCTAGTAATTATGTATTTTTTTATTCCTGCGCGGACAGTCGCGGGTGACAGTTAGTCTATAATAAATAAGCTCGTGCTCTGTTGATGTTCTTGTGATGAGGAAATAAGGCGTCATGTAGAGAGGAAAACGATACTGCCCAGATAATACAATATTGGATATTATTAGAATGTATATTTCATTGGCAAAATAGTTTCACGCTGTTAGTTATTAGGTTAAAAAATGATTACTCACTTTCTTTTCTTTCTAAAATACGAATGTTTGGATGAATGGATGTTTGTTTGAAGGTATCTCCGGAACGTCTTAACTGATTTCCATAAAATTTGGCGCACATGTAGAATATAGTCTGGAAGATGCCTCTCTTCCGGATGGGAAGCATACCCATTAAACCCCTCTGTTCCTCCTATGCATCATGGCGAGGCCACGGGCACGCTTGCGCTTTCCTCCGCGACGTCACCTGCGTCAGCTGCCGAAGCAGATCCCACTATGGGGCAGGGCCTTCGTTCAGCCTCAGGTGCTGGATCCCCACGAATCCAGCGCCCAGTCTGGAAGAACCCTACGACTACTACAACTGCGAATTAACTGAGCTAGTGATAAATGTTTATCCTTTTGTCTTCAATCATAGATTTAAAAGTAATATTTTTTTGTAATAATAAGTAGCAGATCAAATTACCGAATGAATTTACAATTCATTGAGTCATAAGCAACTCTAACAGATTATGTAAACAAGGAATTTAAAAAATATATTTAGAATATAAAAACAAATATCATTTTTACAACTTTCATTTAATTTAGTAGACTTATTGATTATTTACACTGATACATTCTTAGGTGTGACGTAGAGTAGGAAATGTAACGATGACGTTGGTCCATCGTACCACATCTTGCATTCAACGGCTATTGACATGCCCAACGTAAATTCTGATATCTGTACAGCTAACAATGGCGAACTTCCTTGTATATCTGAAGGAAATACATTCACATCTATTCCTGGAGGATCAGGAAAATATTCTATTTTACCAATATGCTCCTTGTCATAAGAATGAAACCCATCACATGATAGAAACAACTTCTTTTGTTTATTTTCTACTAATTTCTTTATATGTGTTGGAACATCTTTGTAATAAGTTGAATTTGCATGTATAGGATTGACAGACCAACCTATATGTTTATTTACTCTGACAACAATGCAAGGTTTCTCGCCATATCCATACGGAGGATGTCCACAAGGACCTAACTCGGTCCTGTTAACTCTTTTTCTGACATTATCTGATAGTAACTCGTCTATCGCTTTAACATATTTCTGGTAACTCTTCTCATCATTCTCTTTGTACCAGATTAATGGTGTATTGCTGAGTCCAGTAGGCGTAGCAGATAATCCTATACCATGATCGGAGTATGTTAGAAGTGAAGTTTTATCAATAACTTGATAATCTCCTTGCATTTTTATGATCGATAATGTTGCGTACAAAAATATCATAGTATACGTGCAAAGGAATAAAAGGTATATGATTGAATATCCAGTAATGTACAACCAACTTTTCTGTGATCTTTCGCATACTGTACCTTTTTCGTTATTATATAAATATTTCCATAGTTTTCTGTACCATGGTATGAGAGATTGGGGATCATCTTTGACCACAATCACTCGTCCCACGTCTCTAGATGTAGATGGTATCGTTCTATCTTTACTCGGAGTCTGAGGTGTTGTTTTCGGTTTGGAAATTTTATTAATTTCGTTTTTAGATTCCATACTATATCTATCTACAATTTATTTTTATAATAAACATTATAAATGTCTCTGAACTCGCATACATGTGTTGACAACACTTGACAGATACTTTTAAACGTTTTCTTTTCAGTATGGTCGTGACACTAACCTCAATACATGGACCGGCTATAAACGTTGATATTTTGTGCCTATTAGATTTTCGACTTTTTATCGCTGATAGTTGCGGTTGCTAGGATTCGGACTAAAGATGGGGATAGATTTAAGTGTCAGGAACTTCAATATCCGCGTTTAATTTGTTTAATCAAAAGCTGTCATTTCCAAGCAATAGCCTGTCCATTTATGAAGTTCAGAAGTTCGTGACATGATATGACAATGTCATTTAACAGGAAGATAGAGTAAAATAAAAAAAAAATAAACGTTTCTGCTATCCCACAGTAAAATAATAAAAACTCATAAACAAATTAAGTTAAATATATGATAACATTAAAGCTACTAAGATACTAATTTGCGTTTGTTCATTTACTTAAGTAACTAATTTAAGTAAGTGGTCTAAGAAAGTTGCCGAAAATTTGATTAATTCAAGCTACCGGCATCCTGCAGCCTTATTTAAAGTTTTATATTGCTTACCAGTATGTTAATACTGTACTTTAGATATTTTCAAAGTAAGGTTTTTTCTTGCCTGTAAGTTTCGTTTTCTACATCAGCAATTTTTTTTATGGATTTAATTTTTGTCAGTTACGTCTAACTAAGGGTAGACTCCGAGCCCGAGTGGAGACTTATAGTGAGCTGGATGATGAACAATTTTTACCAACTAATAAAATATCCATTTTTTAACAAATTCTAATTAATCATCAGATTCGACGGGAGTTTCACTAGACGGTAGCTTATGTGTGAAGGAGTAACTTGGTTATTATTTTTAAATCTACGCTGACGAAGTCGCCAGCACCCGCTACTCTAGAATAAGATAAGCATGGACGACTGTACAAATTTGTAGAACAATCACAAAAAGCAGTACGAAAAAGACAATGTAACAAAACGTAGAATTAAAGGAATATGACTTTAAGGGAATAGGGATTGTTAAAAAGATACAATAGTAAATGTTTCCACTGTCAAGATTTGTACTGAAACATATTCTATCTTTATCTTTCTATAGATAATGAAAGGGATGACAAAATGTCTTTATACAAATGGAAAATCACGGTTAGAGCATTATCAGTGACATGGAAAATAGCGGATTCGGTGTCACGAAATGTCCAAGATTGCGGGATAGTGTTTGCAGGGTTCACTGTCCCTTGAGGCTTGCTATAGATAGTAGAACTTATTATCAAAGTCTGTAAGCATTTGCTAGACAGTACGCAATGAAATTAACCTTTGTTATACGTCCATTTTGCATGCAAAATAAAATCAATGGATTAGATATTAATAATAGACAAAAACATTTTGTCGTGTACACTTTCATCTTTGAAATGCTGGAAAGTCATATAAAAAGGCGATTCAAATATGTCTTTATAGTCAAAAAAACCTTACTTCTTACTAATATTATAAATGCGAATGTTTAGATCTACGGAACGCATGGATCTTGTTGAAATTACATAACCTAAAAGAACATATAGGCTACTAATTAAGTTTTTTTTAATTGCGACCGGACGGAGTCGCGGGCGACAAGCTCGAAGAAATAAAAAACAGTGTCTTTTATAAAATCTCTCTATTTTATTAAAAAAGTGCGTCACAAAATTTGACAAAGGAAATCCTACAACTCATAAAACTACTATTACGTTGAATGTAATCATCTCAAGAGTTATTACAATAGTGTGAGTACAAAAAGACTTGTCTTAACTGGAAAATAACAGTGTAATAATATATATTTGAAGCTAAGTCAAGTGGCTTTAGGTACATTGAATGAGGAGCTTCGGGCGGGAGAAATCCAATAATACTCTGCCAGCAAATGTGCTCACAGTTATATGAAAATTTCTTGTAGAAAATCTCTATATCTAGCGGTTCAATATTCAAAATATCCGACAGAAATAATTTTGATTTACTACTCGCAAGAATTAATTTGAGAATTTGTTACTAGGGTCCAAATTTTCACCTCATCGAAAACTTATAGAACAAATTTTATAAAAGTTTTTCACTTTAAATTAGGATCTTTATAAATTAACTAGCTGTCGCCCGCGACTCCATCCGCGCGGATTAAAAAATACTTAATTAGTAGCCTATGTGTCCTTCCAGACTATGTTCTGCAAGCCAAATTTCACTTAGATACGTTTAGTCGTTCAGGAGATACCTAGTAATAAAGACAATACGTACATCCATCCATCCAAACTTTCGCGTTTATAATGTTAGTATGATGTGACTTTCACGATCATTGGCTTTCAGTTTTCAGTCGGCTTTCATGTGTGAGAGGCGACGGACGTGTCGGGCCCGTGCGTTAACTTCCAGCATAAAATGTTACGCGCTATAAAATATTAGTTCTTATTAAGTGTTGTGATTTGTCTATGGACTTATTGATTTTTTTTATGCCCGGTAAGCTATTATTTTTTTTTTATTTATAGTAAATTTAGATTTTACTCGTTACTTAATAAAGTTTAGGCATTCAACAATTAAATATTTGTTTGCAATAATTTATTTCTTTTCTTTGAGAAAAACCACAAAATTAAAAAAATATATTTATTTATAGTTTTTTTTTAATTTATTTATTTTTAATTTGTGAAGTCATTGACTCTAATAGCTATAGGTAAACGAGATATAAGTTTTATACAATATAACTCAAGTCTTGTTACAGATAAGATTTAATCATAATAACATTTTTTCAGTCTAATTAAAAAAAACTTGAAAGATGAGTGTATAACTCATCTGCAGTTTCTCTGGTGTTGCGGATGTCCATGGGTGTCGTTCATCACCTCGGTGTTCCCGCTGCTCGTTTGCCCCCTTCTTTTATAAAAAAAAACGACAGTACTTCATTTTTCCATAATACAAAAAAATTCTTATCGTGGAGAACAAAGTAGGTAATATTATTTAAATATCAATTACTGTTGGTCGCTTTGGGACCGTAATGTCTCATTTATCGCCCATTTCACACGGGAATCAAGAGAGCATTTCAAATTGAAAGGACGAGAACACAGAAATTGGGAAAGTGACATAACATTAGTACCGAAGAAATAATAATAACATTAAAAAGTAATCAGCATTAAATTCGAAGTCGCGGGCGACAGCTAGTTTAAAATAAAGAAAAACAATAATTTAACAGTTTGACGAAAAGCTTGAATTTTTCAAAATTGGCAGATGCTAAAATATAACGACGCAAAAATTAAATCAACTAAAAGTAAAACATTTTTATTTTTTTATACCCTTTGTAGAATTAACCCTTCCACTCAACGTCTTATTTTTATTTTACTTTGATGCTTTCTTATAAAATTTTATTAAAGCGATTTATTTTAAAATGAATTTTAATGAGGTTACTCCAAGCACCGATCTTTTTGCATGAATTCAACATGAACTAATTATCAAAACGGCTAAAATGGAATTTATATATTTTCTTAGTCATCATCATCATCAGCTCACTATACGTCCCCACTGAGGGGCTCAGAGCCTACCCTAAGTTAAGGGTGGTTAGGCCATAGTCAACCACGCTGGCCCAGTGCAGCTTGATTGACTTCACACATATCTCTGAATTTCTTCTCAGATATGTGCAGATTGCATCACGATGTTTTCCTTCACCGTAAAAACGTCGGATAAATGTACATATGCAAATCGGAAATCGAAAAACACATTGGTACAAGGCGGGATTCGAACCCAGGACCTACAGATTACAAGTCATAAAACCCCTGAGCCACCGTCGCTCTTAATTTTCTTTGTATGATGACATAAACAAGATATGCAGACTAACACACATAAAAACATACCAGCGAAAAACGCTACCCTCTTATCAGTCAAGTAATAACTGCGTTCACAAAAGAATCACGTTACTATTGATAAAATCATAACCATAAATATTGGTAACACTTCAAAGTACCGACATAAATAACGTTGTAAAATGTACGCAGAAGTTCCCGATTCTATTAGACATTAAATTATATGTGAAATATAAATTCAAACTTGATATTTGATAGACAGATTTATTTCTAGATGTATTTCAAGTTTGTGTAATGTCCCAGTCTTTGGAGAGTTACGGCTCACCAACACCACAAGAAAATCATACCATACAATTTCTTCGCTCGCCTGCCAACGACGTGAATCATGACGTTGGCGCTTTAGATAACCAAGACCATAGCCAACACTACGTATTAAAAATTGTATCTTGACCAGCGTACTACCATTAAAAGAACTTTTAATTTCAGTGGTTTTAAAAATGTATTAGAACCCACAGTATTCTTGCCAAAGACCTAAACTGAATCGAAAAGATGCGACGTTAGTTTAAAAGCTTTCATATACCTAATTACTAGAGTAACGTCGTACGTGTAAATAAATCCTCTTTCAACGTATAACATATTCCCGTCGTCACACGACCACGAAAATGGAGTGAAGGGAATTCTAGCGATTTACATTTGCGACGGCAAATAAAAAAAAGGTCACGCTCGGAATCTAACCGCACCTATATTTGTCTTCTGTGTACGCATTTGTTCTACATATCTTATATATAAAATTCTCGTGTAACAATGTTAGTTACCATACTCCTCAGAAATAGCCTGACCGATTTTTATGAAATTTTATTATATAAGTAGGTCTGAGAATCGACTACTATCTATGTTTAATGCGCGCGAACGGAGTCGCAGGTGACAGCTAGTTTTAACATATATGTAGCTATATGCTGTTAAGTAAATATTTATGTCGTTTTTTAATTTAGTCAATTTCTGTATTTCGATAATCAGATTTTGAAATGCAATAAAGTAATTATTCTTCTCACAGTTGAAGTAACAATTTCCTCGCGTAAATAACTGTGTTAATTTATTAAGTGATTTGTCATGTAATCGCAATAGTTAGAACTTAACCTACATTTCACAAATGTTTAATTGTTAACCAGTAGCAAGCAAAAAGAGAAGACTCAGAGACGAAATTTATATTTTTACTTTTCTAATGCACAATTTGCTGAAATTATTTAACCAAAACATATATGTTAAGACTGGTGTGCTATCTTTTCAAGGAAATATATTTCATTCAATTGTAACGCGATCAAAGGTAATGAAATGTCTTTGTACGTACACCCTCAAACTAACTAAGCCTAATGAAGCTTAATAAGTCCTAATTGAACGTCGATCTCAGCGAGCTCTGAGACGGAGTGCTTAGTGAAGATAACGCGCCTGATTTAGATGGGACCTCTAAACGTAGCTGCGTAAAATTCCCGTAATTGACATTTGACTTAGTGGCCTTATACAATTTAGAATTAAACATATCTTGTCCAAAAGGTGTGTAAATTTATTAAGAATATGGAATCGATTAGGCTCTAGAAAAGATGGATAGAAGAGAATAAGAACTAAAAGGCTAATTAAAGATCTGGAACACAAAACCTTGGTTCTAGCTCCACAAAGAGATCTCGATATCTTTCTTAATTTAATTCTATCGTTTAGAGTACAAGTAGAAACAAATTCTCGCCACTATAAAAATAGCCAAAAATGCTACACTATCTGGAAGTTTAGATAAATTTGTTGACAATTTCGACAGCGGACTAATACTAAAAGCTCTGCGATCTCGTCACGTCAATTTATCTAAAGGAGGTACATATTTATTTCAAGGTCAAGGACACAAGATTGCTGAGAACTATACTATGTGGTTATTCTTTTGTTTTTTTCGTTTGAAATTTAATCAAATTAAATATGCAGTTAGCTCTGTAACCAGTAACTTATTTTAGTTAATTATTATAAACGAGAGATAAAGAGTTTGCAAGCTTTTGTTATATTCTTAAGTATAACAATCGTACAATTGGTTGAAAAATAAAGAATTCTCGTGAGTTAGAAGTAAATTAAACTACACAAAGAGACAATTGATTGCTAAGAAAAAAACAGGCTTCATTTATCATTGAGACAAGAATACTACAGACAACTCGAGTCTGAAGTGTACTAATTTACGAGTTTATTGAATTTCTTGTACGTCTCTAACAGATTATATACTTTAAATTTCTTGAACCTATTTGAAGATCTATCAACTCACATCTTCGAATCACGAATTAAATAATTATACTTTTATAACTACGTCATAAATATTGTCAAATCAATTCATTCTTAGTTTTAACTTACATTGCTAAAATATTCTGGGTGTTATTAATAACTTTAGCAATTTTAAGTGCTGATAGAAATATGTCAGCTTTTTTCATCAAATAGTGATAAGATAATTGCTAAAAACGTTATCGAGATATATTCATGTAGAAGCAGAAGTGTTATTCATAATGAAAAATATATTACTAAAAATATTCCCTTGGACTTAATACCAATTCCGAATTGCGTTTTGTCAATCCTGGAGTACGCGTTCTCTTTCAAGATTAAAGTATCTAATCACGTATGCTCGTCCATCCACTAATAAGCTGGTTATAAAATCTAACCCGTCGGTCAAAACAACAACACACTATTTACTTTGTATGATTATATTTCCCTTGTAATAATTTCTTCATTCATATTTTTACATGATCATGTTAGACTATTAACCGTACCTTTAATCATTTTATTTAGTCTATAGCTAAGTAATTTATTAATGTGTTGTTCCAGTGTTTCACAACAAAACGATGTGGTCGCGCAAGCAGTCTGTCTGTAGCGCTCTTAGTGGAGTCTCCAAAGGTGACGAGCCTCTGGCAGCTGGTATCCGAGTCTACCCATTTGCTGTTGCCTTAAGAGTTAGAGTATTGCAGGTAACATTCCTCTGAGAGTCTCGTTTTATCTTTATAATGATGCCGGTTTCATAGCAACCTACAGTATTTTAAACAGTTGCGAATTCGCGTAAACTTTACGGACAATGCACTTCACGCAGTGGTTTGCATACACGCAGTGGTAAGCAAAGTGAAATAGGACACGAACTTTTTACACCGATCGAAAGATCATCAAAACGTTGAGATGATGAAAACAAAGGAACGATTAACGCTTATTTTACGAAGTTCAAATGTCAGAAAGTTTATAAAGGAACAATTAAAAAGAGTCGTAAATTTACCTGACATGTTACGACTGTTCGAAATAACGCAAAGAAATAAACAATGTTTATAAATAGCAATTGCGCTCGTACATAATGTATAAATAAAGATAGAAATAAAATAATAAAAACCCAAGTTCAAGATCGAAATGATTTTATGACTAAAGATCCGATGACTGACAGGACGCAGATTTCGAATTTTCTATAAACATTTAAATGTTTTAGGTATGTCTTCGTTTGCAAAGTCAGCCTAGCTTCAGATAGGAATTCTGATTTACATTTCAATTTAAAATTTATTTTAATTTTGCGAAGAAGATGGATTGGTTGATATAATTAAGTTCCATTTTGATATTTTCCACGTCATGTATTTTAAACACTGGTGAGCGTAGCGTGTTTGTGACATCATCATTAGTAAAATGCGAAACAGAGTAGCACATTCACATTATTTAAAGCCAAGCGTTAATTGAAAGAAAGAAAAAACAAATAAGAAGAGTCGAAAGAAGAAAGTGTAATCTGTTTGTTATTCTTTTCATAAGTGATGCAAAGTAATTCCTGCTTATTCTTTTCTAGATCGTCTGTGGCATCGGTGGTCTGGTGGTCGGTGCAGTTGGATGGTTGGAAGAAAAACAAAAACCAGCGCTAGGATTAGGAGTACCCGCTGGAGCCATCACAGTTGTAGCTGCAAGTAATACATCTACATCTAATATTTTACATGATTATAGCTAAGCAAATTATCTTTTACAATCGTTAGTAAGTTCTTTAACAACAAACGTCATAGCAATTGCAGAAATAAAAGCAAAATTGACGAAAATGCTGTTGTTTATTTTACAACAAATTAAATCTAAATTTCTGAATCCAAAAAGAGGGACTCAAATTATGTGATCCTATTCAGTGTTTTATTAAATTCAAAATTACTTGATCCCAGTAATTTCATGTTCTATCATAAACCACAGACCTGTGTTAATTAAAATACCACACTGAATCTTGCAACATTTAAAATACTATGCAATTAAAAGGACGTACATAATCTTCTTAAGAGATAAACACACCCGAGGGAACAACCGATTTGCATAAAATAACCCACAAATGGCAGGTCTTATCCTTAAGCGTACTTAACCGCTATGTTATGGATTTAAACCCGAATCCCAACTATTAGATACGAATGTATTTATGCATAGCTTGAGACTTATTGCAGTTGAAATTCTATGACTAGCTGAACTCAGTAACTTTAAGTAGTCACACTTAATGTAAATTTACTTGGGAAATCTACATTAAGAGACTCCTTTAGATATCAATTAACAACTCTGAGTGCTACAGTAAACTTAATTACTTACAAAGCTTATTTCGCTCAATAATTCTTAACCTCTAGAAGTAACTGACTGATGTGATGACAAATATTATTATTTTCAAAACGATTTGAATGTAGAACTTCCTTTGTTTGTAACCAGCGACATCAGTCTACTTTAGTCGTGGTTTCGGAGGTTGGAACACAGCGAGATCCCGGACGTCGAGATCTTGGGGAGCGCCGTGGCGAGTGCTGGGACCAGCGCCGTGCGCCGCTGTGCCACTCACCGCGTTGTGGACAGTCGCTATAGCCGCGCATATAGCAATGCTAGCGATTTGTATAAGAACGCTGATGAATTTAGGGTAAGTGCTATTGGGTCATGGAAGACATTAAGACCGGTATAAGCACGCTGAAACAGATATTGAAAAGCTCATGAGAAACAATAGACTGGATATAAAGGTCGATGATGATGATGTTCATAAAATTGCTGGTTGCTTCTAAATTCTTCAAATAGTACGTATCTAATGGAAATTTCGAAAACCTATGAAAATATTTAATGTTTCAACAACTTAATGGCCGAACTCTTCCCGTATGAGTTGCCTAAATTTCAGCTTCATATTTTTTGGTGGATTCAGGGAAATTGGATAACAGTGTTCTCGCCTTGTCATCTCTCTTCTTAAAATTTTTGTTCTTATCCATACTAATGTTTCTTTTTTCAAAACAGCTGCAGCAGCACAACATGTGTTGGAGTTGCGGTGGCGCAGCTCGTTGTTTCAATAAGCACGTTGGCTGCGACTGTGTACATGCTGCAATTGGACCTCAGGTTCGATCCCGCCGTCACTCCACCAAGACCTTCCGACGCACATATCTGTACCGCTGTTTCTATGGTATGTTGAATATTTTATTTAAATTTATCGTGATTAATACATATTGTGGATTAATTCAATCACAGAACCAATTTTATATTCGTAATTTACGTACATGAATAGAAGGCCAGAATTTTCAATACACAGTTTTTCCTTTGACAACAATAATTGTTTTTAAATGCGCCCCAATTTTATCCTAAATATAAATGTAAATTATGGGACGTGATTTTTGTGCAAAATATAAACTCATTAGAACAAGCTGTCGCTTAACCTCAGCGCAATAATTGCGAAAATGACCTTCTGGGCAGAGCAAACACAACCATGATACAATAATTTATTTGCGTTTATTTTTTTATTTATATTATATAATAAAATTATATATGATTACATTATACCATATGCAACGTTTCCGTTTACTGGCTGATGTTGAAATGTTGAATAATATTTATATTTAACATAAGCGAAGTACATCTATTCAAAATAGAATATCGATTTCTGTAATGAATCGACCGCAACGTACAGTTTGATTTGTTGCACGCATTCATCTTAAATTCTTTCACAGTCTTTATTGATAGTTCTCAATTAATCAAAGACAACCATTTAAGTAAGTTATTATTGCAGTTTATATCTGTTTTGTGTTAAGTGCATTTCTTATTCATTTATCAACCTTATTCTTAATATATTACATTTCATATATAAAATAAAAAAATATACAAAATATATTATATTAAAAATAGAGCATCACCGGCTGCGGAGTCCCATGACTCAAACAACCAGTGGTCAGGGCTGCAGAGACAGGAACCTTCTCACAATGCGTGCGGTTTCTACGATAACTGCCTTTTGTATCGGGCCCTTAATCCAACTGTTTAGCGAGAGCTTCTTGAGATGTTGGTCGAAGCTCTTTGCTATCAGTCCATTCACCGATACGACTTTCGGAATAATGGTAGTCGATTTCATACGCCACATGGCGGTAACATCGTGAGCCTAATCTAGGTATTTTAAGTGCATTTATTATTAAATTGTATAAAATTCGAATGATTATATTTGACAAAGTCTGGATGTTGAGCCAGTGATAGAGAAATTAAAGAGCTAAAGGTGAACGGGGTCATCAACTCTTTAGCCTTTTTTCCCTACGGGCGTCGTCACAGAATGTACAATCAAGGAAACTGACGGTGTTACACCTTAAAAGCTGAACTTGTTTGAACGTTTTGATGATGCAGAACAATGACCGATAGAACATAGCTTTACAATGTGTCTGTATGAAGCACGATTAGTTATTCGTACACCGCTAATTCTCGTTGCAAGGTAATTTTTCTGTAACTGAAATACCGCAGATTTCCACGACTGTACTAATATTCCATACATCTCTATCTTTCCCTATGATTATACTAGGCGTAGAAAATATGGATATAATAACTTCTTGTTATCTAATGGTTTTTTCCCATAGGTACCGCTGACATCAGTAGCAGTGAATAGCGGTAACAGTGGAGATGGAGAAGCTGGGAGTCCGTTCGGGAATAACAAGAACCCGCAATCGCCACAAATAGAACCCACTTGATAAAGTTGTTCTACGTAGATTAACTGCCGAACCCGATAATCGATCTGAACATAATTTTGATTATCTCAAACTTTTTTTAGAAATATTTTCAATGGATTTGCTTATATACACGTAACTATAAAATCTCTATACGTTTTGTACGGATCGTTTATTGGATACGGTTGAAAATGCTAGAGATACGAGTAGATGTAGGCAAATGTATATTTTATAAAACAAATAGGAAATAAGAAAAATGCTTTTTGAATCGAAATCTTCTTAACTCTACACAGCGTGAAAATAACCGTCCATTTTCCTTAATGAAGATGTAACATTCTAATAAATTATTGCATTGTCATTTGGTATTTTTTATCATTCATGGATAAATAAAAAATGTAAAAATAATAATGAAACATACACTTTTTATGTTGATTTAATTATTACGCTGTAATAAAAACTTCTAAAAAGTAGCCCCTTTTTGTGATTATCTCCCGTTATTCTGCACTTACTTATGTCTTTTATATAGAACGTTTTGTTCTTTTGAGAATCCCAGTTGTGCTGATTTTACTTTGGAACATCTTACATCAATAACATCTTTGTATTCCGGAGCAAAATCACCGGCACGATTTAGTTATTAAGAATTCTCGTAAAATATATTTCATATTTTTTATAAGAAAAATTAGCAGTTGTTTATATTTTTTTTGTAAAAAAACGCATAAATAATTATAAAATGCATTTCTTAGTATATAAAACATTTTAGAATATATAATTAATTTATTGTGTACATAACTTTTTAAAGTTTATACATTTTATATGAGCTATATGTGTAAATATATAATTTGCAATTCAGATATCGTTTTTCAATTACCTATCTTACTATCTACTGTGAATGGATGGATGGATGTTTGTTACAATTTATCAGCAAAACGGTTCAACAGATGTCGTTGTAATTTGTCATAGATCTAGAACATAATCTGTGAAAACTCATAGGTTACTATGTAAGAAAGTTTTTTTTTAAAAACCGTGCGGTCGTAGTCGCGGGCGACAGCCAACATTTATATAAGTAGTAAGCAAATATTTGCTCACCGACATTTGGCCGATATTTGGCATCACCACCGACCCCTGGCCCCCGAACAACGGACGCTCTTTTGATATCAAAATCGGTGGCTCAGGGGTCAAGCACTTGACTTGCAATCCTTGGACTTGGTCCTGGGTTCGAATCCATCCATGTACCAATGTATGTTTTGATTTCCGATTTACATATGTACATTTATCCGACGTTCTTACGATGAATGATGTTTTCCACATCGTGATGCAACCTGCACATATCTGCGAAGAAAAACAAATGCAAGAAGCAATCACAAATTGCACAATTGTTTTGTTTTGACTCCATACTTACAATCTTGCCAGCTATATCCCTAGCAATATTTCATAATAATTTATCGATTGTTTAAGGTTAGCCCATCGACCTTAATTGCGGTACACTTCACGTCAGCTAATTTATAAGCGGCTTGTTTATGTAGGCTGGCCTTTGTTGATATTCATGAAACTGCGTATATGAAGTGTGTATATTAACTTTGCAAGCTAATGCTTATTTTTTACCATATTTTCAAGTATTTTCAAGTGTAGTCAATAGGGCTACTTTCGTTTTTCTCCCTTTTCACGCAGTCGCGTTAAAAAAGGCAGCTAGGATGTTGTGGCGGTCAGAATGCCCTGATTGCCAATGAAAGCATACCGAGAAAACAGCGAGATTGCGTGGTCCGATGTTGCCGAATCTTACGAAGGCACGAGGAAGTATTTTCTTGGAGTCGTGCAGAAGCCCAGTGGGAAGGGTTTCGGTGCGTTCTTCTGGAGATCCCGGGACCTCACAGTCGCACTTGATGTTGGCCACCGAGGGGGTTTTAGTGAGTAAGAATCTGACATAACCCTGTCTTCCCCCAAGACAGGGTACCTCGAAGATTTCCCCCGATATCAAAATTGAAAAGGTAAAATGTAAAATGTCGAAAAATAAACATTGTAAATAAGGCCAATGTCATAATTTTCTAAAAATATAATACAACCAAAAGAAAAGGCCATTTTTCATATGAATTATTAATTTCTTCCGGCTTCCTACGTCTATGACAGTTGTCCCTCAAAGGGATATGAGAAGACGAATGTTTTGAAAATACAGACCATTCTTTTTACCCACTGTCAAATTATATTGTCGTCCTTTTTCTGTCTTTGAATAAAACAGAGACAGGAATATGTAGTAGTCCAAGTATTGGTAAACATAAAAGATTTATAACTTGTTTGTATTACTTATACATCATTTGTTGTCTTGATTTATTCACTTGAATATATCTCCATTTACTTCATATTTGTAGGTCTTTTGAAGTATCGAGAAACAATATAAGAATTAGGTTATTGGAACACATAAATCTAAATACTAAATATAGGGTAAATAAATTATCGCAAGCAAAATGTATCTTACTAATATTATAAACTAGCTGTCGCCCGCAACACCGTCCGCGTGGATATATAAAAAAAACTTAATTAGTGTAGCCTATGTGTTCTTTCAGACTATGTTCTATACGTATGCCAAATTTAATCGAGATCCGTTCAGCCACATTTCATCCATCTAAATATTCGAATTTATAATATTAGTAAGTCACATCAAAAGAAGCTCTTCAAGGTTTAAATTCGAAAAAAATGAATAAATAGTATCCTATGTCCGTCTCCTGGCTCTAAGCTACCTCTTCGCCAATTTTCAGCCATATCGGTAAAGCCGTTCTTGAGTTATAAATAGTGTAACTAACACGACTTTCTTTTATATATATAGATGCGAATGTTTAGATGGATGGATGTTTGTTAAAAGGTATCTCCGGAACGGCTCGACGGATCTTGATGAAATTTCACACAGATATATAATATAGTCTGGAAGAGCACATGGGCTATTAAGTTTTCTTTAATACCGTGCGGACGAAGTCGCGTGCGACCTCTAACATTGTATAGTATACTGTACAGATTTATAGCACTAAATGTATACTACAATCATGTTAATTAATTCAAATGAACATTTGTTAATTTCTATGATTTAAATTTTAAACACGGTTCAAATTATTCCTCCTATCTTAAAGTTGCTTCAAACCCTTCACTCCGAGAGTTAATTAAAATTTAATTAGTATATAATACCATTTAAATAGCTAATGAAATGTCTTCAGAAACTTACCTTTTTATTTATATTAATTATACCTTTTTCTTCCTTTCAGAATTTATGTATATACTAGCTGTAGCCCGCGACTCCGTCTGCGCGTAATTAAAAAGAAATATAATTAGTTCCAGGCAACATGTCCAGAGGACAAAATTGTGAATCTATACCATTCCCAGATCCCCTTGAATACACACAAAAAATTTCATCAAAATCGATCCAGTCGTTTGAGAGAAGTTCAGTGACATACACACTCACAGAAGAATTATATATATAAAGATTTGGTACTTTATTATACTTTGATCTAGTTTTTTTATTCTCTTAAAACATGAAAATTTCATTTACAATGTTTCTTTTGTGAATGAATTTGTGTCAAGATGATTTTGTTAAATTCGTAATGTAATCAACAGACGGCTCGACATATAATTCCAAAGATTTGTACGTTACTTTAACCAGAAAAAGCGCTCAGATTAAAAACGATTCGACAATATGACAGAGATTAAATTTTTCTCATCTTGAAAATGTTGCATATTTTCTTTCGCTGTCAGATTATCTCTACTTACGGGTATTTATATAATTTTATATTTTATGTCTATCAGTGGAAATTTAATAATGGGAACATTATTAAGTTGTTGTCTTTTACGACAACAAAAGAGAATAAAAATGAATCGTTAGTAAAAGTTTTAAAAATCATTCTGAAACTAAAAATACTTAAGAAAGGCGTGGGAAGAAAAAAAATATCACGTTAAAGTCCATTTTATTAATAGTTCAAAGATTTAAACATAGTTTGAATGTCTAGTCTAAGTTTCGCGAGGAGAAGTTGAAATTAAATTTAGTTCTTTCAAAGTTTACGATTTTTTCTCTTCAATATGTCTGAAAAGTTTTCAATAATTGCCCTTTCCTTGAACTCAATTACTAAAGCTACACCAAAATAAGAAGTATTTATAACTAGCTGTCGCCCGCCACTCCTTCTCCACAAAAACCTAATAAGTAGCATATCTGTTCTTCAAGAATATGTTCTACATCTATACCAAATTTCATCGAGATCCATCCAGCCGTTCCAGATATATCTTCAAGCAAACATCCATCCATTTAAACATTCGCATTTGTAATATTATAATAGTAAGATTTAAACTAAGACGTATATAGATGAGTGATCCGCAGCCGTTGTACTCTATTTTTAATTTAATATATTTTGTATATTTTTTTATTTTATTATGAAATTTACTATATTTAGAATAAGATAAATAAATGAATAAGAATTGCAATGATAAACTGTCGTACTCAGAATCGTTATGTTTTCCTTAGTAAAGATTTACTATGACAAACCTACATGGTCTCTTTGTTATACAACATTGTATGACAAGGTGATATTTTTATAATGTTGTACGATAAATAAAAGCAGTATAGCGGACGGGAATACGACACACGCGAGAGAGAATTCTGCTTGATTGGCTTATTAAGTCATCCTTGTCGCTTGACCTATTTCTTTCTAAAGATAAATAGTAGTTATTTTTTTATTTTTAACCTCTTATATAAATATATAAAATTGCTATACCATTTTAAAATAACGTTTCTTCCACCATAATTCATAGTTTCAGAATGATAGTTTTTGTAAGAAATAACTCTAATTTTATTTTATTATATGAATAAAAAAAATGTTTGTGTGAAGCCTAATTAGTCCTCTTTTCCCTTTTTCCCTCCTTTTTCTTATAAAGTAGAAATGGATGGATGGGACACAGGAGGGGAAATATTATTTTTCTTTCCGTCTCCTTCTTGTCGTTTAAAGGTAAGCAACGCATTAACAACTGCGGTTACCCGTGGGTAGCTGACGCTTCTCTGTTTCGGCGAATTCAGGTTACCGCTTACTTTGCCACTTTATAATATAAAACAATCGAACTTCTAGCTTTGTATTCAGCCTATAACTAACCTATAGATTTGTTCCAGTGACTGTAGTATAACTTAGCTCGAGTAACTTAACAAAAACCTCCCGCGAACACTGAAATAATCGTAAAACAGTTTCATGAGACTCGACATTAGTATTTATTGGTCATTTACGTCGGCAGAGGGCACCTCTTGTCGTCTCTCGCCGTAAAGTGGATAAAGAAAGCTTTTTATTTCAACTTTTATACACTTTTTGTATACAAATCTT